AACCACTCGAGTAAGATAGTCTGGCAAGGGAACCGTCAACATGATATGTGTGGGGTGGCATACTGGTATGTGAAGTGCCCGTGTGGAGTGAGAGTGGGGTAACTTTGTGGTTACCCACGACCAACCATAAGAAGAGAAGGAGTGGTGTTAGAACCACTCTTAAGATTATGACTGATAGAGTGTCTACCAATAGTAGAATGAGCATGAAGAAAGGTGGTCCTATGACCACTCATGCAGTTGACATCAATGGACTTGCCTTTGATGTTGATAGAGAGGGGACAAAGGGTTTGAGTACCCTTTCCCGAGTTTCCCTTAGAATGAGCTAGAGTGATTGGGCCAGAACGACCACTCAAGAAATACATGGGAGTAGCGGATTGAAAAATCTTACTTCCTATGGGTGAATTCACAAATGTAGGGATGATAAAATCCCAATTCGAATGCAACAGGAATAATTGAACTCCATAACAATTTTTAAGAAAGAAAGAGATGAAATATCTGTTTGAGAGCAATTGACGCCAACTATAGGGTGGCTTTTCCCCAATGGAGTCGCCAGTTGGTCAAGGTTCCTGGGTCGTGGGCACGGTCTCCTCATGCCTGACCCCCTCTTGGATAACCGTGTGGCCTCACGAGTGGTCCGCTCGTGCATCTCTCGTGGTGTCACTTGTATGCGGATAAGCGTTACCAACTTGTGAGAGAAATTTAAAGAACAGTGAAGAGATGGATTAAAGCACCTACCTCACTGCGGTTGGGGTCATGGGAAAAGCCTGGGCAAAAACGCCCAATTAGATCACTTCACGAAAGCCCTCCGGCTGTCCAGTAGTGCGGTTTGGACGTGAATTCCTCTCAAACATCAATACTTCATATCGGCTCTTTCTTTTGGAAACTGCTATCGGAATTTAGATGAAAATATTCCTCTTTCGTGGGTTCTATGAGTGAGGGCCTCTGATATAGTTTGGAAATGGGAGGGGAGAAAGTTCTCTCACAACTTGAACACTATGTGACTGGGTGGTTGAGACAGCAAGAATCAGAATTTTGAAGAAGACTAACTCAGGACGACTACAACTCAAGTAAACGAGTGCTAGAGAAACAATGCCTCTTACAACTTCAGTTCATTGTACAATAAGGTATTAAAGCAGCAACCCCAGAATTAAGCTTCTGGAACACGATCTTATGACCCTCCCAGATCAAGTGTTTTAAGTGATGAGCAAGGGAGTCTATGAAATAAAGGGGCAATGTGGATGGCTAGGCGCGAGTGGAGAAATGGATGTGGGCGAGTCGAATGTGAGTGAATGGTGGACGAGTGCACGTTAGAGCATGGGTAGATGAGTGTGCCTTAGAGCGCGGGCAGATGAGTGCGTGTTAGAGAGCGAGTAGACGAGTGCGCGTTAGAGCGTTGGTAGACGAGTGCACATTAGAGCGCGGGTAGACAAGTGCGCAGCTGGGGGTGGGTACACAACTACGCGTTAGAGCGCAGGTAGATGAGTGTGTGTTAGAGCGTGGGTGGGATGAACGTGTGTTAAAGCGCGGGTAGACAAGTGCATGTTAGAGCACGGGTAGACGAGTGCGTGTTAGAGCACGGGTAGACGAGTGCACAGCTAGGCGCAGGTAGAGGAGTGTGCGTTAGAGCACAGGTAGAAGCAAAGAGGGAGTTAGGCCTGCCCTAGGCGCCGTTAGACGAGTGCGCATCAGGACACAACTAGACGAGTGCGCCTTAGAGCACGAGTAAACGAGTACTTAGCTGGGCGTGGGAGTGCACATCAAAGTGTGGGTAGAAGCAGATTGGGTGTTAGGCTTGCCTTAGGCGTGGGTCAGTGACCTTAGGCTAGAAAGAATGAGAGAGGAGGGAAGGTGAGAGAGAAAGAAAGAGAGGAGAGAGAGTAGACTTATGGTATGTGTGTGCCTAGGTGCACCTCCATGAGTCTTCTTTGAGGCATGTGAGAGAGAAGGTTTGGGTTTAGGTGTAGCGTGGTGTATGGACAGGGTGATCGAAATGGGCTAGGGTGGAGTAGGAAATGGGTTAATGATGTAGGGTGTACGAAATAGGTTGGGGTGGAGTAGGGAATGGGCTATGGTGTATGGTGGTCTAGAGGTATTTCTCTCTCTAGGAAAATTTTTCTCTATCCTCCCTCGTTGGTCTTGAACTCACAAGCAAAAGTACGTACAGTTAAGCAAGACAATCCAAATGCTTAAATATTATTCGAATTCCAAAATGAATTCAAAGACCAACCTTCCCTCCATTACAAGTGACATGGGTTTCCTTATATAGAGCAACCACTAAACGTGGGTGGAATGCTCAAAAGTACCCCAAATTGTCAAAACATACAGAATTAATGAATTAAAATAATCATCTCGAATTTGGACCGAATGACCAAACTACCCCTTTTCTGCAAATGACAAAACCATCCCTTCTGAGAGGCCTCTTGCCATGGCTTGTCTTTGGGGGCTTTTCCAGACACTTATGATGGTAATTCTGGCGATCAATCATTGTAGAATCGATGCTTGCATTCTTGTGAACGTTATGATACCCTTTGATTGCCTTGAAACGGATTTTTCAAGAAGAACCGAAATTCGGCCAAGTTCATAAACTTTGCAAATCTTTAACCATCAATGTAGCTTGATTTGTGATGTTCCATGTCTTCATTTTTGTCACACATTGTAGAGGACATTGTAACAATCATTTTGCAGTAAGTTACGTCCGTTTTGGTCTTGAATTAAGCTTTTTCCAAATTCAAGAGGTTGTCAAAAAATGGGTTTCAGACAACCGGAAAAATGTGCCTTTCTTCAACCTCAAACATTGCATCATCCGGGTTCCAATTATGTCTAAAACTTGTACCAAATTGTAGCTCTTCGACACACGGTCGTGACAGACCCATATTTCGATGATCCATCATCGCAATCTTGAGCTATGGCCTTCTAAAGAATTGGATGTTTTCTTAAGAATTTTCATGTTTCTGAGCACATCTTCTCTCTAAAAATTCTCTCACTTCAGGTCAGGCCAAGATGCATGCCTTATATCAAAATCATTGGATTGTCAAGATCAAACTTGTGTCCAAATTTGAGCTTGATCGTACTAAAAACGAGCAAGATATGATCATTTGAAAATCCACCCCAAATGAGAAGACAGTTTACACAGTGTCGGAGCCCTATTACCGAACTGCACTTTACACAATGCTAAAGCCTTACTATCCGCCCTACTGCCGGACCGCATTTATACAGTGTCGGAGCCCCTATTTTGACCGCATTTACACAGTGCCGGAGCCCCTATTTTGATGAGATTAAAGAGAGAGGTGTGGATAAGGTAAAAATAAGAGAGGGTAGTTTAGGTATTTGTTATTTTTTATTTGATTGGGGGTTATTTATATAGAAAATATATTTTGAGGAAAAAAGAGAGAAAAAAAAAAAGTTACGGGAGATAAGTTGCGTAGAAAGTAAAATCCTGTTTTTTTTTTTTTTACAATTTTTCAAAAAACTAATAATAAAACAAGTGGCGATTTCCACCGTTTTTCCAACTCTTTCCTCCACTTAGTTCATTTATTTTATCGAGAAGTGGAAAAGCACAAGTGATGATGAGACCAAAGCATGTACACTACACTACAAACCACAAGCAACAACCGAGGGAAGTTTGGACGAAGTTGCCTACGAGAAAACGGAAGCCCCAAGAGAGAGAAAGATACTTAAGAGAGGAAATTTAATATAGTCCATAATACTTGCATAAGGTTTCCAGCTTTATACTATTCAAATAAGGTGCATCCCAAAATTCCCTTGGAAGAGAGTATTTCCCATGTTGAAGACCTGATTATCTCAATATCGAGATATGTGATGTAAAGAAAAAAAAAAATTAAATTTTAAAAGTAGTGCATTTTATGACAGATTATCTGGATCGTATATTTTAAAATTTTGAATTTATATAGATCAGTTCAATCTATAATAATTTTGAAATCTTAAATTTTTTAAGTAGAGATCTTCAAACAAATTTTAGAAGGGTGCGTTATTTCCACAATATAAAATGGAAAAGTAATTTATATGCCTGGGGATACAATTTGTATCCCCAAGGCATCACAAGTCCACCTTTATGATGAATGTGAAATTGTGGTCTCTCCAAACAATAAAAAGATGGAACCGATGTTGAAAAATTCCTTAAAAACAAAATTATATAAAACATTTTAAATTTTAAATTGTATTTTTGTGTACACATTGATTTCCATGTTGGAGATTGTACATATCTAAAAAATTCGGTCCAAAATCCATCTAAAAAGTGGATCACAAAGAGGGGATGCATTTATATATATGAGTTCTAAGACTCATAAAACCCGTGTCAATGTAAAAAAGGCACCTTATGCAAATATCACCTATAACATAATGGGTGGGGGCTATATAAACCTTATACCATATAAGTAAGGCACACTTAAAAATTTAGAAAAAAAATTATAGTTCTAGTGTTGGAAGCCTTACAAGTTAAAAAATCCATTTTCAACTATAATTATGAAATTAAAATTTTAAAAAACAACGCAACGGAAGGAGATCCATAAACAATTGAAAACAACGCAACATAAGGAGATCCATAAACAATTGAAACTAATGACTAGTTATAAAATATATTATTTTTTAAATTTTTAAATTATTATTTTTTAATATAACATATATCTTAATCTCAAAGCCAATTAATTAGAAGGTTTTTTAACTCTAGAGCACTCTTCTCAACTAGATTTTTGAGATACACCCTACTCATACAATATAAGGTTGCAACCTTATGTAAAGTTTTCCTCGTACGTTAGAGAGAGTAATCCCCTTTAAACGAAAGAACTTAGAGAGAGAGAGAGAGAGAGAGCGAGGAGGGAGAGACAAAGTCACTATCCAGGAGAGAGAGAGAGTGAGGAGACACAAATTCACTTCTCAGGAGAGAGAGCGAGAATCCCATGTCTAGAATCTAGAGAGAGAAAGAGCTACTACTAATGAGAGAGAGAGAGAGAGAGGGGCTGATAGTGATAGAGGAGTTGGGCAAGAAAATGCGGCAATGGAGAAGCTTCGCGGAAGGTGCATTCCAATCCTCCATTTAATGCCATGCCCTCCGCTCCCTCTTTCCAATCACCTTCCCCTCTAACCCTAACTACCCACCAACCCCTTTCGCCCTCTCTCTGCAAATCTTGCCGGAAAACTATAAATTCCCGCTAGTTCTCCAGCAATGAAGTTCACAGTCCTGCCCATTTTCAGGTTGAAAAAATCCCCCTCCCTCTCTAAATCCGACCCTCTTTCCTTTGGCTCCAACACCTCTTCTACTTCATCTTCCTCCTCTGATTCTTCCACTAGCCTCAAAGAAGCCCCGACACCGAAGAGTGTCCTCCCCCCTAATACCTTTTCCCCAAAATCTGGCCGGAAAACCGCTGAAGTTCACCGGAAAACCGCTTCGAAAAGATACACCGGTTCTGATAAACGCTCTGACTTGGAGATTGAAGAAATATACGATACCTGCCGGATACTCGAGCTCGTCGGAGATGGAAAGATCTCGAAGGAAGACGTGGGTCCCGTTTTCAGGGCATTAGGAGTGGAGCCACCGTCCTATGAGGAGCTGAGAAACGTGGCAACTGATGATGAGGGGAGGATAAGCTTGGAGGACCTGGCTCGGTTCGGCGCGCCGGCTTCGGCGGAGGAGCCGGTCAGCGAGTTGATGGAGGCTTTCGGAGTGTTCGATCGAGACGGGGACGGTCGGATCTCGGCCGAGGAGCTCCAGGGTGTGCTCTCGGCTCTGGGTGATGCCGAGTGCACAGTCGGGGACTGCCATCGGATGATCAGGGGATTCGATTCGGACGGTGATGGCTTCGTATGTTTCCAAGACTTTGCGCGCATGATGACCATGCACCAGACCTCCTCATGATCGGCTCCATACGCAGCTCTTGAGAGAGATAAATAAGAAATTCAGAGGAAAAATACGAGTGATCTTTATATTTCGTTTTATTTTGGGGAAATTAAACTGTACATGGTGCAATGTAATGGGATGTGATTTTGCAGTTTTTTTTTGAGATCTTAGGCATTTGTCTGGATATTGTTCATCTCTCTCTCTCTAGAAATTTTCTTTGATGTTTTCTTTATTGGGTACTCCCAATGGGGTTATTAATTAAATAAGTTCTTAATCAATCGGAAAGTAGCATTATATGGTTCTATTTTTAATGTTTTTCTTAGTTGGGCATTCTTTTTTTATTTATTGTGTAATTTCTTAATGGGAAAGTAGTATTATATGGCTCTAGGTGGGCATTTTCTCTTGATATTTAATTTGTTGGGTATCCAGAATGGTTTATTAAATGGTATAATTTCTTGGTGGGAAAGCAGTTTAGTGTTTGAAAGTGTTTTAAATAATAAGGAATGAATTGGATAATGAGTCCCTACTGGATTTGGTGATGTTAGTTTTAATTTACTTGTTAATCTTTTTAATTTAAGGAATGGGTAATTAAACAAGGGTGTGGTTTTTATAAGTTTTCAACCTTAAACAATTCAATTAAGGCGTACTTTAAAATTTTATCACCTCAAACAATCCAATTAAGGCGGATCTTAAAATTTTATCACAATATATAATTTTGTTGTAAAAAAAGTCTTAGTATTATCTTAAAATCTATATTCATATCTAATTAGAATAATTAAATTCCAAAAATGGTTAAAATCAAGTAGATCTATAAATCTATGAAAATTTTGAAAATAGATAATTTAGATAATGTGTTGTTAGATGTACTATTTTTCGGACTCAAAATTTTATTTTTTTTTCATATTCATACATTTCGACGATCGAGATGATCGATTAGAGGGTTATTTCCCATTAAAACAATGCTTGTTTTGGCAGTCACACCTTGAGGACAGGGAAATGTTTGGAATTTGGAATCTGTGTAAACTGTGAGAATCGGGAATCTTTTGGTATATCAGGGAAACGAGACGGTTTCTCTAAAAATTGATCCACATCAATCAGTGATTTAAAAATGTCTACATTGGTGAATCAACAGTGTGGAATGTTGTTTTTACTGAGTGTGGAAAAACACGTGCGTTGTTTTACTGGTAGTGAACAGAGAAAAAACACAGGTAGAAAAATGGCATTTTTTTTTAGATCCGAGCGATTTCTTATATATTTACAAAATTGACACGAGGTCATCGATTCTCAGGTCTCGGCATTTTTTAAAGCAAAAATTATGTAAATATTCATTTTAGTTTTTGTTATTATCAAAATACCCAATACTTTCTATTATTATTGATATGTCCATTTTTTGGACTTTATACTTTTTTTAAAGATGAAGCTACCAAACTGAAAATTTAAATTTTTTCGTTTTTTCAATAACCAAAATGTTTTAAACTCTCTTCTTCACCCATGTTTTTTTTTTTTATAAATTTCACCAAAGCGTATTGAGAGAGGAATTTGGTTTGGTCTGGATATTCCCATAGCTCAAAGAGCTTGAATTGACAAGAGATCTTTTCTTGAAGGTAGGGCATCATGGGATGGGTCATCAGTTTTCCATTCTCCTATGAAATAGGGGCTAAAACTAATTGCTCCCCTTGATTTTATCAAATAACTATAACTTTAGAAAGGTTCATTGCTTGAGCCTTCTATTGTTCCTCGGTGCTTGTTGATCAAGCAACTTGAGCATGGCAACCACTATTTCTATTGGGCACGCTATACACTTGAAGATCCAAGTACTCGTTTTCATAACTTAGTGTTCAAACTCTAGCGGCTCTCTCTCTCATAGCATCTTGAGTTTGAGGGGGAGTGTGAAAGGAAAATATATATTGTTTTCAGTTCATATGAAATGTGTATATTATAATAAGTATATATGGGAATGTTAGGTATAATATCTTGTATTTTATGGTTAGTTTGGATATAGTTTACATGTCTGTGCTTTATTTTTATTTTTATTTTTTTTATGTAATTTGTTTGTAAAAGACAAGTCAGTATATTCATACAATTAATAGACATTGAGTCTCTTCAAAAAAACCTGATACTCTTCACAGGCACAAGCACTTGTAGCCATTAGATGTCAAGTTGGATGGTTTGGGGTATGTCATGGAGTTCGAGAAATTTTTTCTTTTAACTTTAACTCTAATCAAAGATACACCTACAATGACCCGATTAAAATTTGATGGACAAGAGTACCCATTACCTCTTTGTACTAAAAGTAAAAGGCCTCTTCGCATACTTTTCCTTCTCGATTTTGGAAGAAAATGAATGATACGACAACGGTATTTATCCGGGACTTATTCTCTATTATAAGAAATAAATAGGATTGGTCTTAGCAATAAATAGGATTGGTAATGGGGACAAAGACATGTATGATACAATTAAGACATTTTCCAATACGGAAAAATGTAGATTGGAAGGTGTAGCAAAGTATAATCATTTTTATTTTAGTGGAGACGATGAAAGTGGCATGTCATAACATGATTTATAGAGCAATGTTGTCATTTTCGCTTGGAGTCTTTTTTGCTTTGGTGAGAAAAATGAAGCAATTCGGTGCTTCGACCGATTCGAGAGTAAGAAG